ATGTTGTTTAACACCCATTGAATTTTTTAAAATGATTTTGAAAATTTTACACTGATATTTAAAAAGTCCGGAATTTCTTTAAAATCAAAGTGGGGTGTTACACCCTAAACCCTGAACCTTAACCTCTAAAACCTAACTCCTACAACCCTAAACCATGAACCATGAACCCTGAACCCTGAACTCTGAACCCTAAACCCTGATAAATGACATTTATGCACAACCAGATGCATGCATAGCTATATACAAAACTGCATAAACACAAAACTTCTCCTAAAGTAAGCATGAAATGGTTGCAGTTTTTAAGGACACTAGCCACAACCCAAAACAACTCATTAAAATATAAACAATAAGCCCGTATATTTTGATTCTTACGAAATTGGATATTTAAGCATGACCAGCTGTCAGATAGTACAAAAGTGGTGAGATGTCACATGTAAGGATCAGTACAAGAATCAAGCGGACAAGACAGCTCCACAATGAGGTTTCTATATTCAACACATCTTTTGCAGCAATACACCACATGGAGATGCTAATTCCAGCTTCCAAGACTTTGCTAGTAATAATTTTTATATATTAAATTACATCAATTGTATTGTATATATATTACCACAAATTGCTTTTATCTGACTCATGTGCTATACACAAACTGCTTTTGTTACCACACAACATGCATGTACTATACACAGCCAAACTTCACCCACTTCACTCTGATCGTACAGATTGTTGGCAAGTACGAAACATAAACCAACCAGCAGTATAAAATAGTCTGAGATTCTAATACAATAAGAAATAACCTCAAGTTTTGTTATCAGAAATGCTCTTTGTATTTAGGTTGTTGCTCCCTAATATTGAAGGTGAATACCACTATCTTACCTGATGCAAATCGGAAAAATTACGTACATGTAGTCTTGTGTATATATATTTACATATATACAACCATTGCAAACTTTAATCAATAAAGGACTCTATTGTGATTTTTATTGCACAATTACGAGATTTCAATTAAATACAATCTGATGAGTTACTCTCTTTCCATATCTCGATCATGGCAAGAAGCACCCGACATCAACGCTAAAAAAAGAGAAGCCTAGAAACAACCATCGGTCGGCCGATCACTGTCGAAGATGGATCTCTACTGTGTCTGAGCCTGTTTTTCCTCAATTCACGACTCCTTCACAGCAGCCATGGAAGCCTTCTCCGAACACCATGTCATTTAGCCTCCCCCTTTATTCCCCCATTTTGTCCGACCTAATTCTATCCGCGAATCGATCGTCCTCGCCATGGATCTCGATTTATTTCACGGGAAAAATATAAGCGATCGTGTTGTTTTGTGAAATTGATCGAGAAGTATACGCTGAGAAAAAAATCGAAGGTATATTCATGTTTATTTTTTTTTTTTTTTTGGTGATCAATTACGAATTTTTTGTGTTTTTTTTTTGTTTACTTTGTGATTTCATTGTGTTGCATCGAGTCATAATCAGTTTATCGAAAAAATTCAGAAGATGATGATTTTACAGAGGAATCGCCGAACCAGCTGCAGACTATGTTGAAACAGTGAAGTATACGGAAGATAAACGGGAAATAAACACTCCAGAACACTCTAAAAATAGTGAAGTAGGATAAACGAGAAATAAACACTCCATAACATTTGGAGTTTTGGTCGATGGATACATGAATACTGATATTGTGGTCGGCGAAACTTTCAAAGATAAAAGTGTTCATGTGTCTTAATGCTTCAATTAAAGGGTTTGAATCATTGTAGGCCTACTATTTTTGTCGATAGTACTTTCTTTAGTTTCGCGTATGGAGGTACGCCAAGGCCGGTGTTTTAGATGGGGTGTGCTTTGGCGATGGCGAGATGGGCTAGCTCTGCTTACGACCACGTAACTGTGACTGGGATTGTTTGCAACAAAGTGTCTATATAGCATAGCAAGGGCTCTTGAAACTATATCATATAGAATAGGGACTCGACCTTTGGTATGAGAAAACCAAATCTTTGGCAAATAAAATCAATATATTCATCTACCGTTTATGTTAAGTATAATTGTACATATACTTCCTCATAACCACGAAAAAATATGTTTAGATATACTGTATATATACATTAGATAAACATGGTCTAACATTTCTCTAATATTACCTGCATAGTTATACATAAGATAAACAAGATATAAACAACACTAAAACGGTATAAAACACATAATACACAATTCTGGACGAACGACTCGACATCTAAAGTGCGGACAGGCTGCGAACGAATTTCTCGGCGACGAACTGTCAGGTTACGACTTCGAATGGCGGCCGACTCACGGACTAAGTCCTCGGCGGTGATGGCGGACGAGGCTGCTATAAGGAACTCGACTCGGCTGGGCCCGTGATGGCGAACTGTTCGCTCGGGAGAACCATCAGCGGCTCATGAAAGTGCTGCTCGGAGGACGAACGGTGTTGCTGCTCCTCGCGCGGAATATTGCACTACTCAGGGATGATGGGTGTTTGCCGGAAAGCGGGTCACAACTTACGTCTCGGCTGGGGGCGAGTGGATCTCGACGATGGCAGCGCGTGGCCTTGAAGCTCGCGATTATGGCTTCTCAGAGGGGTTCGAGTGTGAGGTTTCCTCGACAAGGGCTTGCTCGCAGCTATGGCATCTAGTGTTCTTCTCTAAGCCATTGACGAAGATATGGATGAAGAAGGACAGAAGTTATGCAGGTTCTAGATTAATTTGGTCCAATTCTCATTAATTGTAGGTCAGTTAAATAAGGTAAATAAATTATTCCTAATACAAGTATAATTACTGAGAAATCTCGTAGATATAATAATAAGATTCTTCACCCGTAATTTTAATATTAAGATTATAATGATTAGTAAGGGAAGTAAATTTCTCATGCAAATCCAAACCAGATTGAGTAGCCAATCTTCCCGTCTTCAAAAAAATCTCAATACCAAGACCAATTAAGGTTAATCAGGTGCAATATTTGATGCAAGACAAATCCCCTAAAGTCGAGCACAGGAATCCATCTAAAGTCAAAAGGTTTTAGAGATAAGTATATGGTATGACGGATCTACCAATCCATCTAGACACTTGAGAATTTTCAAGAACATGGCGGTGCAGCATTGTTACAGCGACCCGATATGCTGCAAAGCTTTCTTCACAATATTGAGGGGACCAGTTCAAGATTGGTTCCAACAGCTGTTACCAAGGACTATCCAAGATTTCGAGGGATTCAACTCTACTTTTATCAATCAATTTGCAAGTGTCATAGCTCATGAGAAACATACCTACTTGACCGGAATGCAACATAAAGAATGAGAATCAACCAGTTTACTCCCGATTTAGGAGAAGACCCATCATATACTATAGTGAAAGAAATTTTATTTGACCAATTTTAACCATTTTATTTCTGTCATTTTCCTTTCGTCTCAAAATTAAATTTTCACCAAAAAAAATTTGTAGTATACATTAAATGATGATGTATTGATGATGTATTGTAGGCAAAAAAAAAAAAAAAAAAATTACCATTATTTACGATTTTTTTTCATTTTTACTTGTCTATTAAAATTAAATTGTCACTAAATGTAATTGAATAATAGAGAACATGTCAAAGACAGCAACATGCCAACTGCAACTCATGGTTGTTCAACTTATTTCATAAACGATAGGATAATAGTCACCCATTGATGGATATTTGAACTCAACGCACTATGGGGTGACACTACAAGAAAAGTAGACAATCATTACTGCGAGAGGTAGCATTCATATGATTAAATCATCTTCAAGATAACTGTACTCAAATGTGAACTCCGTCTTAATTCTCTGACACCTGCGTGAAAGCATTAACAGTCGATAAATCAGAAACATCATAAAAAGATTAATTATCAATCGGAATTAATAAACTGTGGTTGCTTGCGATGATACATTCCCTACTATCACAAAACAACAGTGTCATAAATTAAGAACCTCATTTTGAGCGTTCTCGGCTAGAAATATTTTTTCCGTAAAATCTGATCTAATAACTACCTAATAACAAGTACTAAATTAAGGTTCTATTTCAACGCGGAAGGAAAAAGATAATCTACAGGATCGGTCGAAAGATTTGTGATACTTTCAGGAGTCAGGACATAGAAAGAATATTCCAACCCAAGGATTCACTGGTTGAATTGTGGAAAACTTGAAAACAACATACAGAAAGAAAAACAAATAAAAACTGGGAACAAATAAAAAAGTTAATGAAGCAAAGGAGGCAAATAAGAACACAAGTACAACAAAGAACAAAATATACCCCAATAAAAAAATTAAAGCAAAGGTGGCAACTAGAAAAATGAAATTAGTGTCATTAACATTAGAACCATTTGGTAGAAGTTAAAACCACATATCAATGCAAACAGCAAAAGAAATCATAGTGGAGATTTCATCAATCCTTCAATTTATTTGATGGCATTTGTTACGCTGGTGATGCAAACTGGCAATTAACTGATTCTTTTAGGTAAAAATGAAAAGAAAAGAAACAATGATAAATGTCTTCCTAAAACTCGATCATTTCCACATCCTAATGGAAATGAATCAGCACAATTTAAAACTCCAAAAGTAATTTAACGAGATATATCAAAAGGGATTCAAATAATAATGGTGTGAAGGGAAAATAATGACCCATCAGGAATTCCCAGCCCAATATAGTGTAGGTGAGTGTCGTAATAGAAAGAAAGGTGGGTAAAGTATTAGAAGACGTAAAAATATTCGTTCCTTCAATAGAAGTGTAACACAAAGATGGAGGTATAGGAAAATGGAGCTTGGAGCTAAGAAACCATACCATCCATGTTGTTCATCGTTGGCAATGTGAAAATCAAAGTACACGTAAGTCCCCTGTTCAAAATCATCTGTGGCAACTTTTGGCTCCTCATGGCGTTGGAACCATGTGTTGTATTTTCTGTGGTATCTCCATGACTGCTTTTTCAATTCCTTAGCAGCCAAATATTGCTGGTAAGTATTCTGCAGATAAGTGTATCGGCATAAGAACAAGATGAACACTGAACTACTACAAGGATACACAAATAAAGAGAACAAAATTTCTAAATAACCTGTTGATAATAAAACGAAAAGAACAGTGTGTCCGTGCCATAAGTATCTGCACCTAGCCGCTCCCAGAAGGCAGGATTATTGACAATAGGTGCCTGTACTTGAGGATAACTTGGAGGGGTGACTGCTGGGTGCCTCTGTGCATTGCCAAGGCAAGTATTAAAATAGTGAAAAAATATATGGTTTATATAGAGAAACAAATCTACAGCATCTAAGCTTCTTACTGGAGTATAGATCTTTGCTCTTTCAGAATCTTTAGGTTGAGGAAGTCTATAATAAGCACCCTCGAGCATCTGCAAATTGTACAACTGATCATGCAATCCTCCCGAATTAGCAGTTGAAGCGCTGATGTTATCTCCAATAGCACCAAGGTCAGATACACTTCGACGACCAATAACGCCAAGACTTCCAGCAGATGAAGTCGGCTGCAAAGGTTGTCCCGGGGATAGGTCTATTTCCCGAATCACTTGTGAAGATTCAGCAACCGTACCATCAGCAACAGCAGCCTGATTGTAATAAATAACATAGCAGAAAACAGTTCTCATGAAATTTTACCAACACTGAATGAAATGAGTTCATATTGAAAATACCAAATGATTCAGGATTGATGATTGAAAAGTCGGATGATCATCCATACAGATATCTCAATGTTATAGTGCCATATCAAGGTGTGGATGAATGGGTGGATGTTATCCACGTCCACAATGATTATTTAAGGAATAGATTGGGACAAAAGCAGAAGCACCACGGATTCAAAGTTTAATAGATAAAAATTTCCATAAAATTAATCAATCCAGTGTAAGTTTCATGTCTCCAAAGTTTAAATTAGCTGTCCAAAACGATTTAACAAAAACAAGGAAATGCAATAACGAGATCTTATACATACCGCAGTATCTAAAGGATAAGAAGTTTTCAATTCATCTTCTTTCACGAGGTTTTTACCGGGCCCAATGTTAGAACCAGAATCTGAGGATGCATCTTCAATGAGAGGCTGATATCCTTCCTCAACTTTTGTGAGCCCAGTTTCTGCACTTGTAAAAATTTGGCCACTGGGTAGTGTTACACAACCAGAAATTTACATTAAAGATAACTAGGATTTACCAAACCATACAGTTTCAGTAATTATATTGAAGCGTCGGAAACCTCGTCAGTGAACGGTATTGGTAATTTTGAAAGATAATTATACATTTGCATTTAAATTAAATAAAGCTCAAAGGTGTAGTCCATAAGTACCACAGAAACTTCCCTGATTATGTAACTATATTGATACTCATGTCGGTGGCAGTTAATATTGAGGTGTACTCCAGGATTTATCGTATATGGTCAATCAAAGATAGAACACAGTTCAAAGAAGTGACTGAACAGCATTACCCGCATCCTTAGATGTTGACGATATGATTGGCTGCTGATTGGATGGTTGGTGTGCACTTGTCTGTGGCTGCAGTGAAGCAGGTGTTGCAGCACTGTTAAGACCTGAAGCTTGAAGTCCAATGCCCAACCCAAGTTGAGGAGTGAGAGACGAGCTTTGAGCATTGAACTGAGAGGGTAATAAGTTTCAATCTACTAAACAAGTGAACAGTAATCATAATTTTCTACAAGATATGCATTAGAAAAGAGAGAAGAGCATAATTTGTGATCCACCATAGAAGCCTTTCTCCATAGTCCTTGATTCTCTTTCTAAAATCCAACACATAAATGAATTCTGCAGTAGTTAGAAGCAACTGAGATATACAAGATTACAGCCACAATCTCTTTTAGTTCATCGTTCTTTTTTCCCCTAATTATGTGGAAGTGAGAGATCTTGAAAAGATGAGAGTATGCTATGACCAAAGCACATACAAAGCAGATTGCACCTGGAGTTTCCTTTGGACAGACCATAGCTCAAAACAACAAAAACTTACACCATTGACTTATGTTGATACCCACATAATAGTACTTAAAATATACATTATCTGAACAGCTACATACTTATCCAGAGATGCACCAAAATGATAAACTAGCATTATCGTCTTCTTTGACATAATTTAGATACCCAAAGAGAAAGTAATCAATGAAAAATTTAGGAAACGGCACCTGCTGTAGGAGTAGGTTCTGCGGCTGGGCAGAGAACTGCTTCCCTCCAGCAGCAGCAAGAGGAGGCATACCAAGAAGATTAGTCTGGCCTTGCTGCTGTACCTGCTGAAATCGTTGTAGAAACTTCTCCCTTTGATCAGGAGCAATCTCAGTTCTTCCACGGAACTGTGCCTAGAGATACAGCGACTCATTTTCAAATGGGAAAATAATAAAATAAATGTGGCAGTATGAAGCAAAGATGAGATTATTTGCCAAAAGCATATCACAGAACTTACCCTTTGAAATTGTAAACATAAGCAAAAAAGGTAGCCATTTTATTTATATATTCTTTAAATTTAAGAATTTTATGGAAGTTGCATGGTAGAGCAATAATAAATATAATTTGTATCCAAGTAATTACAGGAAAAATTGATTGACAGGAAGATATGGGGGAAATTGATTGGCATGATCATGGGAGAAATATCTGATTGGGGCTGATTTAGGGGAATATTATTAGGATTATTAGTATGTAAATAACGGGATTTGGATGAACAATAGGAGAGGAAAAATATCTTTTCTATTCGCCATATTTGGCTTGGGCAGACAAGTATTTATGTGTCGGGAACTCTTCCCAGAGTCCTTGCGAACCTGGCCAGGTCACTTTCAAAAGAATTGGTAGGATGGTTCCTAGATTTTAGATTATCACTCAATAAATAGTAATTTCATTTCTAATTTATGATTTCATGCTCTTTAGTCATTACTCTATCATAGCACAAAAAGCACTAATGCAAAAGCACTCACAAACTTCATTCATTGAACAATAAAGAAATGAACAACTGACATACAGTCTCATTCTGGTTTTGGAATGAACTTCCAGGTCTCCATTGAATACCCGGAACCGCAGAAGTGAAAACTCTGCTGCCCAGAGTTGCAGCATCGCCAACATTTCCCGTATCAGCCAATCCAAGTCCATCATTAGCCTTGGCCGATTGTGGCAGGATTACTCTAGTACTTATAGGGGACACTAGAGACGGGGCCATACCACTATTCCGGTCATCAGGCCCCATAATATTTTTCTTCCCCACCTCAGAAGTCAAAGACATAGTACCAAAAGCTCCATTACTGGAACTTGCGTTTCCAGAGGTTGCAGGGACATTAGATGTCAATTGACTAGGTAAGCCGCCTCTACCAATAACCTTTAATCCAGTTTCAGCAAGAGCTGGTGACGGTTTATGCCCAGGGATGTTAGTAATTTCCTCTTCCTTTGCAGCACCTGGTATAGCCACCGGAGATGAAACACTGGCAGCACCTGAGCTTCCAAAACCAGGAATATGAACACAAAATAAAAGATAGGAAAGGAAGCCAGAGACAGAAAAGTCATTGTTGACCAACTTGTAATGGCAGGAGTTGCATGCCCTGCTGCTGGTGTTTGTGGTGCAGGGGAACTACGAGGACTACTTTTAGGAGGCGGAGTTCTTGCAACAGCATCATCCTGGAGAGTTGTTTCTTCTACATGATCGTGAGTGGAAGTAACTTGCTGGATGGAAGCTGATGTAGCTGCCTGAAGGACATCATCAAGTAATACGAAAGTGAACATGTCAGCTCCATGCACGAAGAATCACAAAGGCCTTCTAATAATTACAAGTAAAAAGAAAAAATGCAAGCAGTAACTGAATGCAACATATATTTTCAGGTTCTTGAAAACATTTTAAAATAATTTTAGGCAGTTCAGAGTTTACTAGCAGGGTGCTATATTTATGAAGTAAAACTCGTACTCTTCAATGTATGGATGAAGAGAAAGAGAGTGCAAGCAGGTGGTAGAAGACATACAGCAAAATTTATATTGCCATAAACTTATAAGTCTGCAAAGAACAGCCAAAAATCTCAAAATAAAGGAAAACTTAGTAGCCAATAAGAACAGAATGACGTATTGATCATGTCAAGCAAAATAAAGTCATATATGTAGCTACATCTATTTTTATAATTTCTAGTACACAGAGGCTTTAGTTCACCACTTCTGTAATAGACATTTTCATTTTATTAAATGGCTCATTTTGCCCAATTATAATAATAGAGCCAAGTTTCTCCACAAAGCACTGCCAGCAAAGATTCTCGCCTTATCATCTCAACAAAACAATCAAGGTCCTCACGGTAATGTAAATCTACAAAAGAAGTTATCATTTCAAAAAAAACTTAAACGACCAAATTCTTCTATGACGAAAATATGTTAGCCTGGAGTCCAAGGATTTAGGAACAGAAGAACCATTTCTGCCAAGTGCTTCATAGAAAATTCTTTGTGAAAGAAAGGGTTAGGGCTTGATTGTTTATGAATTATTTTACTCATCTTTATTTTATACTCAAAATCTAACTCAACTTTAACTCAACCCCATTATCTTTAATATTATTCATATCATTAAATAATTCAAACCAATCATCTTACACATCACATCAACTTTAATTCACTATTCATCCACTCACATAATTTTAACTACCTATCATTTCCAAGCATTTCCAATCATTTATCTCTTACTTTTACATCAAGTCAATTTTAATCATTTTATTTTAAATATTATTTTAATACATTTTTAAAACTCCACTAACAAACCACCTTTTTCAAAATTAACTATGATTAACCAAAATAACTCATTCTGAACAAATTATTTCATAAATAATCAAGCCTTTAATATAATAAGATAACGTCTTTCCTAAAATATCTACAAAAATTCAAGGACCATGGGGAGTGTATGACCCAGTTGGGAAATGAACATACTGGAGCTTGGGTAGGTACAGCAGTTAAAGATGGTTTCATACTTAGAGCAGTGGAGGCACTGACACCCTGCCAAAACACAACAAATAAATAACAAAAGAAGAAGTCAGTAGAACATTGATTCCAATGTTTCCTCTTCATGTTAGAATGAATGTATAAGAACTCCCATATCATGACAGTGCATATAAAGAGATCACTACAAACCATCTAATCAGTACTTTTTTCTCTATTCATGTGCATGAGTTCCCATATCATGACAACTATATAGTGACTACCCCGTGGACATGGAAGATAAATTGAAACCCTATATATATATATAGGGTTTGTCGATCTATATATCTAAATATAATACTAAATCAAAAATTAATTTGTCGAACTATTTATCATGATTGTCCCTTACATAATATGCACTTGTTTAATAAAAAAATCTGTGGGACAGGTAATTCACCTTAACAAGACCAGGAGGGACAATAGTAACTAGATCTTCAAGTGACTCCACCTTGTCTAGAGGTAAAGAACTGTAGAGCTCATCAACGTCATTAAATTCGTCAAAATCCTCCTGCATGTAAGACGCCAGAAGGAAAGTATACAACATGCTTTAACCACCCATGAACTTTACATTTCAATTCAAACAACAGAGCAAAGATATTAGTCATCTGGTAATCAGAAGCAAACAATAGTTTGCTTTGATTAAGACCTGATTTCTTTCCACATAGTCATCCAAGAAATCCTTCACATCATTTACTTGCTCTGGACTCAATTCATCATTATCCAACAGCCTTAGAATTAATTCTAACTTCATAATATGAGCCTTATGCCGAGCAATGGATGTCTCTAGATGCGTCTGCAAAACAATGATATTTGCATAATGCAAGTGCAAGTAAATTGAACTGGACTGAGAATTCCTTTCTTTTCTATCATACCAGTCTGGGAGGCCTTGTCTTCCCTTTTTTAACAGAAAGTCCCTCTATTTCAGCTTCAAAGCTATCTATTTGATTTTCCAGCTCGCTAACCTACTCAACATGAACATAACAACTCCATAACTACTGATAGCATATCTAAGAAGTAGCGGAGAGAGGTTACATAATAATTTACATCTGATAGCTAAACTTTCAATTAAATCATCTTAAATGACGTGAAACTCTGTGGTTTTAAAAATGCTCTGAGATAGACACCTGGAAAAATAAACCAAAATACAGAATGAAAAACAAATGTGACTTATTTAGTTTAGTTACTTCAGCTTCACTTCCTGAATAATCAAATTATTAGGACTACAGACATCGGAATTCAATTACTCAACCCAAAGTGAAAGAGATGCTAGCAAAGTTCCGGGGGCATACCACATTATTTAACCAATCTCTCGTCTCTGATTTAGCTTTTTCCTTTGGATCCTACATCAGATGAAATGTTAAAGAAATGCTGAAATCAGAAATTTCATGTTAAATGCAAGAACATGGCCATACATACAAAAGCACCCGCTTCAGATGCATTAAAAACAGGGTATGCATTCTCTTGCTAACTCCATGCAGTGAACCACAAATATAATCCACAAGACAAAATTATTAATTCTAATACACTTGTTGACAGCATTTCTGTAACAAGTTACTGCACTTATGATAAAAGTTAACTCCACTAAAACATAATCAGTCAAGTTAAAGAAAGTTTGTTTTGAAAGCTAGCACAGTGATCTAATGCACACCGTTTTAGGTTGTTGGCCAAGGCCTTCTTTGGAGAATGCTTTGGTCTTTGTTTCTTTTTCACATATCTTAAAGCGCTCCATTTCGCGCTCAATTTGCTTTCGAGCGTCCGTCAGAGCCTGCTCATAAGAGGCACTAACCTATGTCAACACGTATAAAAAGAAATCCACAGTCAAGGTCCAAAAACACAGAGCGGAGGGAAGAGAGCAGTGAAGAATATTGAGGTTGTTTGCAGTACAGATAGTACCTAGAAGGAGAAGAAGAAGAAGAAGAACAACAACAACAACAACAACAAGAATAACAATAATAGGAGTAATCATCAATGGCAAGCATACACAAAAGTTTGTGCAACGTGTAAAAAGCAATTTCAATTCCTAAGGGTAGGGCCACAGTAGGAATGAAGAACTAACATAAACACTGAGATTATGGAATGCTAAATGGGATGAATCAGAAAAATATAAGAATTATTGAAACAGAAAGTTGAAAAGTGGTAGTCAATCAAGCAATCAACAAGCCGTTAAACTCCCCCTAACTGGAGTCGGCTATATGGATCGCATGTCACCATCTTGGTCGATTTAATCACATATCCTCATTCAAAATTAAATATTTTAAATCATATTTATTGTCTCATTCCAAGATTTGTTCGGTCTACCACTTCCTATCTTAATTTGCGTTCTTAATTCTAATGTTTCTACACTTCTCACGGGTGCCTCGAAGTCTCTCCTACACAAATGTCCAAACCATTTCAATCGTGATTCTCTCATTTTCTCCTCTATGTGCGCTACCCCAACTTTATTTCTAATACTTTCATTTCTAATCTAAACTAACCTAGTATGCCACACATCCACTCAACATTCTGTCACTCGCATTTTTTTGATCATTTTCATATTTAGTAGCCCAACACTCGGATCTATAAAGCATCGTCGGTCGGTCGAATGGCCATTCGACTGGTAATTTACGATCACAAAGTATCGATGACCGCTCCTCCACTTGTTCCAATCCATTGAATTCTATGTGAACATCCTTATCTATGTTGCCATTATCTTCTAGAACGAATCCTAAATATTTAGAACTTTTAGATGTGTTATGTTCCCCAATTTTAACCTTTACCTCATTATTACTCCTTTGATTACTAAAATTACACTCCATATATTTCGATAAGAGCCTCAGTGGTAGTATAATAGTTAAATTAACCTTTACTAAAATTTACCCTTGTGGTAGTATGATAGTTGAATTAAATAATTAATATGTGTTCCGGTAAGAGCCTCCGCTATACAGAAGAACAAAATGGCCTGACAATCAAGGCAGGTTAGATTATTAGATTTATGTTCTTAAGAATAAGCCTGCATGTGATAAAACAAAGTGCATCACTAGACCATGCACTAAATATCAGATTGATGTCAACTTTGAGACACATTGTAATCAAGACACTACCATTATTGACTGTCAGTTTAAAAACAAAAACAGTTAAATTAGTTCACAGCCAAAATAAAGAAAACCAATCGAGATTCATCAGGCCTTTCTAATTCATTACATTCACCCAATATGGAGGATGTTGTTGCCAAAAGGGAACAAACAATGAATTAAACAGAAATGTTTGGGTTGGTGGATAATACCTTCTTATCCTTGATCTCGCTGGACTGTATCCACGTCTTGATCTGGTCTCTGTACCTCTGCAACTTCTTTATCTCTTTCTTCAAGTCCGCCTCGAACTTTTCCTTCTGGTTCGCATTGTCCGTATCATAAACCTGGAGAAATAGACAGCCGAATCATACAGCTCAGAGGTAGAGTGATAATTTGAAATGATGCGCGGTTAACGAGAGAAGATACCTTGTTCCAAATGCTATCAAATACATCGACACCCTCTTGAACCTTCTTTAGAACACGATCAATCTCTCCCTGTAGCTTCCGACTAGCTCCCATTGCCAATTCTCAAAATTATTGAGAGCGATCAAGGGTCGTTCAGGATCCTAGGGTTCGCAAGTGATAGGAATTAAGGAAGTTCCTTTCGTCTTTCTGGGAGTTGGGGTCGTTCAAGATTAGTTTGCCCACGTAGTGCGGTACCTAATAGTTTGATTAAGATAAGCATATATATATATATATATATATATATATATATTGATGAACATAAAACTTGTATTAGAATAAAACAAAATTTAACTTATACATTATAAAATATATTTTTGTACATAACATTATTTGCTTCACAAAATATATTAGGTTAGGTTATCTCATGACCCCTGAAAAGCCTGCAAGACGCACCCTTACGCGCTCAATTAGGTGAAATTTTTGAATTAGATGTGCGACTTTGAAATCGAATGGTGTTTTTCGTAGCAGCCCAAGGAGTTGGTTTACTTTTGGACATGTTTCGTTTGCTTACGTGAAATAATACGTACCTTTCTGTGTGAACCAATACGTACAATTCTGCGTGAATCCCGTTATAGTAGAATATTCGTGAGTTACGTTCTCAGATTTTACACGTGTGAGAAACTTTTCTTCTAATTCATCAGGCGAAATCAAATGGTGAATTAATCATTGCCAACATAATTTTTTCTTAAATTTTATTTTGTTATATATAAAAAAAATAAATTATTCTTCAAATTAATATAATTTACCATTTAAGAGATAATGACTAGACACGTTAAATAGTTTTACTAATAGTAAACATTTAAAATTGTAATATATTAAGTGTTCTTTATAATTTATTTGTATATTATTGGCAACCATGATTATTTTTTTTATCATTTTTTATTTTAATTTATTTCTATAATAAAATTTTTTAAAAATATATTTTTATTGCAGAGTATACTAAATAAACTATAAATCCTTATAATGCAAATTAGAAAAATATTGATTATAGAAGGTATTGAGGTTTTTACATTTGCTAAATCAAAGTTGTTTAATTAGTATACAAAATTAAATTCTAAAAAATATGTGTGTATATTTTGTAAAATATTTACACACTAAATTTAAAATTTATCTACATATTTTAAATTGATTACATAAATAAATAATACTAACGTGCATTAAATAATTCTCATTACATAAAATAAAAATACAATAAGACGTACAACTTCTTATAAGAATAATGACAAAATATGATAACAAAGTTTATAATAAAATAATAATTAACTGTTATATGGTGAACAAAAATAAGTAAAACTGTTGTCTTTCTCTTATATCAAGGAATAAATATGTATACTAAAATCAAATTTATTATAGTATAAATGTGTTAGTGAAATAATATATTAATTATTTTACAAGCTAGCTAATGTTCTAGCTAAAAAACAATGCTGATTAAAAGAGGTGTAAACTAGATTATAACCCTATATTGTTCTTTTAATTAAAACTGATAAAAGAGTTAGAAAATGGATAATAATTATATTACTTTTTAGACTTAAATGAGCATAACATGTAAAAATAACTCATTTAATTATTTTGTCAGTGAATAAGTATTAGTACTGTACTAGTGCTTATCCCGTGCGATGCACGGGTAAACAATATTAAATAATAATTATAAATAGATATCGAGTTCGAGTCACCCAATGAAAAAAGTGGGGAACCACTATTGATCCTCTCTTAAAAGAGCAAGAAAAAATATCATAAATTAAAGATGAGGGTAAACGATATTAAATAATAATTATAAATTACCGATGAGGGGCTAACATGTCATATAATTTACGGTATATCCGTTTATTATAAATGATATAAAATTAGCTTGTTCAAGAGAACATAAAATTTGTATATTTAAACAATTAAAAACTCCTAAAATATTATATTAACATATGTAAAATTATCTAAAAAATTTTATATTATTATTAAAAGATGTGAAGTCACCTACAACTTTTTTAAACTATTTTGTAAAGAAAATATATCTAGAAACATTAAAGTTTACATTTGTATGAAAGATGTTTTCTGAATATATATGACATGATAAAATATTATAAGCCTAAATAAATACATTATAAAGTTTTTGAAAAAAAATTTACCTAATATATATAAAATAAATATTGACATGATCCTGAAAATTATGACGATACTACCGTACCTGAAAATTTGAGTATAGAAGATTTAAAAATTATTATTATTATTCTTTTGAGTAATTTGAGTACAACAAATTTCAAAAGTATTATTATTATTCTTTTAACTAATTTGAGTACAAAAGTTTCAAAATTAATATTATTTTTTAGTTACTGTACAAATTATTATTAATATTATTTTAAGTAATTTGAGTACATAAGATTCAAAATTATTATTAATTTTATAGTTAGTGTAAAAAGAATTTTGTAGGCATAAAATTCCACACTCTATGTAGATTTATCAATTTTACAAATAAAATGGGATTTATTTTGTGTTGAATGGAGACTAAGACAACTTTGAAAAAAAAAAAAAATCTTTCTATTTTCAAAATCATCCTCTTGATATTTGAAATAATGCATTTGTAATTTGACTTGATTATGGTAGAATATTGAAACTTATGGAAAAAAAATTAAAGAAATGAATTTCAATTTATTTGAAATTCTTAAACAATTTTGAATTTCGTGCAGATTAAAACAAAAAAATAGAAATTCATTATGATTTTGTAATTTTCAAGAGGTTTGTTAATTTTAAAGTGGCACGAAATCCTTCATTTAAGGATATGGATAGAAGCATGTGATTAGATATTTTTGAAATTCAATTTGAACAAAATCCTTTATATTAGGAAGAGATTTTGAATTAAACCCAATTTTATGGCAACTAAAATGAGAAGAAAAATTTGAATTTCAAATTTTCAATTCAAGTTTTAAGGAAAATTTTTCGGCAATCTGATTGTTTGGAATAAAAAACACAATTGATTTTTTTTTAAATTGGATCGAATTTATAGGTAAGTTGTAATTTTTTCTCGTCTATTTAAAAAAAAAATATGTAAATAGTAAGTATAATTCTAAATCTTATATTGTTTCATTAATTAGATGATTTTGTTTTTATATAAAATATTCAAATCAAAAAATTGAAATGGTTGAGTAATTTATTAAACTATGAATAATTGACTATTGAATTTACGCCAAAGTTAATGTTGACTCGTAAGTTATGAATAATTACTTATTTGACTTATGAATTTGGAACTCAAATTTGGACTATACACTAATAGGGTTGTAAACGAGCCGAGCCGAGCCGAGCTCGACTCGTTAAGTAAACGAGCCAAAAAATGAGCTCGAGCTCGGCTCGTTAAGGCCTCGAGCTCGAGCCTTAACAAGCCGATCTCGAGTTTTAACGAGCCGAACTATAAAAAAATTACATAAATTTCACTTTCCGAGCCTTATCGAGCCGAGTCGAGCTTGGCTTGTTAACCAAACGAGCTTTAAATGAGCTCGAGCTCGGCTCGTTAAGGCTTCGAACTCGAGCCGAAACGAGCCTTAACGAGCCGAGCTCGAGCCGAGCCGAGCCAGGCTCGTTTAATTTAACAGCACTACACACTAAATTCTCTTATATATTTGATATATGAATATATTATATATATAATCTCGTAATTTTCTAGAGTTGTTGTCGATTACTTTATCGTTCAAATTTATCAACAAATTTTCTAGAATTAAATTACAAATTTTTTAATTTTATTAGCCAAAATTTCTTCAAATCTTTTATGGTAGCATATCAATAAAAAAAAAATAGGTAGAAATAAAATAATTGATTGAAATTTTTTGAAAATTTTAATCAATAGATTAGATCAATTATTGATTTCACATTATCTTAAATAAAATTTTACGTATGCATATATATATTATTCGCACTAAATTTTTACTAATAGCTACCAAATTATTGCTATTGATTTTTTTTGGAAATCAAATAGTCCATCTCGGTTTTTTTTATATACCAAAAATAATTGAAAGAATCCATATAAATAGTGATTCTTTCCAAAAATTTAAAATGTGTTGTATTGAGATAACTAGTACGTACCTCGTGCGATGCACGAGAAATAAATATTAAATGAGTTATTTTCACAGCCTTGTCGGTTTAAGTCTAAAAAGTAATAGTGTTATTGTCTATTTTCTACATATTTTATCAACGTTAAGTGTAAAAAACAATAGTGTTATAAACTTTTTTCCACATCTGACAGAGATATTAAATGAGTTATTCTCACTGTATTGTCCTTTTAAGTCTAAAAAGTAATAGGGTTTATTTATTTTCTACCTATTTTAATCAACGTTAAGTCTAAAAAATATTTGGGTTATAAGTTTTTTTTCCAACTCTTTTAACCAACATTGTCTTTTTAGCCAAAACATTAAATATTAGCATGTTAGGGCTAGCTTTTACAATAATTATTATATTATCTCACGGAAATATTTATACCAATCAAAACTTAATTTTAGTATATAAATTTTTCTGGAAAATTATATTTAAAGCCACATAATAATGTCATGTTGGATATTACAATTAAAATTATTAAAGTCATCTCATGTGACACATGAGATTGTGGCATGGCTTATGGTGCCCTGATGAGCACCATAGAATTTTTGATTTTTTTGCTAGTAATTTTAATAAATAGGATGACTATTTATATAAGTATAGATAAGAAGGAATTAGATAATGAATTTTGAATCTGCCTTTTTTTTAGTATAAATAGACTTTACGTAGAATTTTTTACTTCACCGATTTTATGAAATTTTTTTAACTAAATCGATGTTATTATGGAATAAGACAAATAAATAAAGCCTTTTTCATTTTAGTAAAGATTTTACGTAATTTTTTTTACTTATAGGATGTTATGAGATTTTTTTCTTAAACCGATTTTATGGGATATAAGACAAATAAATTAAATGATTAAATAAAATTCTGGATAGAAATAGCAATGCATTAATTACGTTGACTTTCTACCTACTTAATTTGGTAAATAGAATACCTTATTATATAAACTAGTGCAAACCCCGTGCGATGCACGTGATACA